TACCTACATGCCTCCAGCTTCCATCCAAGACACATCACACGATCCATTGTCTACAGCCAAGCCCTAAGATACAACCGAATTTGCTCCAACCCCTCAGACAGAGACAAACACCTACAAGACCTTTATCAAGCATTTGTAAAACTACAATACCCACCTGGGGAAGTGAGGAAACAGATTGACAGAGCAAGACGGGTACCCAGAAATCACCTACTACAGGACAGGCCCAACAAGGACAATAACAGAACACCACTGGCCATCACATACAGCCCCCAGCTAAAACCTCTCCAGTGCATTATCCACGATCTACAACCTATCCTGGAAAATGATCCCTCACTCTCACAGACCTTGGGAGGCAGACCAGTCCTTGCTTACAGACAACCCTCCAACCTGAAGCAAATACTCACCAGCAACTACACACCACACCACAGAAACACCAACCCAGGAACCAATTCCTGTAGCAAACCTCGTTGCCTACTCTGTCCCCATATCTACTCTGGCGACACCATCAGAGGACCCAACCACATCAGCCACACCATCAAGGGCTCATTCACCTGCGCATCCACTAATGTTATATATGCCATCATGTGCCAGCAATGCCCCTCTGCCATGTACATTGGCCAAACCGGACAGTCCCTCCGCAAAAGAATAAATGGACACAAATCGGACATCGGGAATGGTAACATACATAAGCCAGTAAGTGAACACTTCAATCTCCCTGGTCATTCTATTACAGATTTAAAAGTCACTTTCATTGAACAAAAAAACTTCAGAAACAGACTTCAAAGAGAAACAGCAGAAGTAAAATTCATTTGCAAATTTAACACCATTAATCTGGGCTTGAATAGGGACTGGGAGTGGCTGGCTCATTACAGAAGCAGCTTTTCCTCTCCTGGAATTGACACCTCCTCATCTATTATTGGGAGTGGACTACATCCACCCTGATTGAATTGGCCCTGTCAACACTGGTTCTCCACTTGCGAAGTAACTCCCTGCTCTCCATGTGTCAGTATATAATGCCTGCATCTGTAACTTTCACTCCATGCATCTGAAGAAGTGAGGTTTTTACCCACGAAAGCTTATGCCCAAATAAATCTGTTAGTCTTTAAGGTGCCACCAGACTCCTCATTGTTTTTGTAGATACAGACTAACACGGCTACCCCCGATACTTAATTTTCTATGTGTTGCTGTAGATCAGTTTAAAAATTGCATAGAAGAGCTAGTTCTCTATTATATTTGGTATTTTTTTAGAATAATTTCTATAGAACTCTGTATTTAATTAATCCCTATTACATTCTATATGGTAGCAATTTTGCATAAAACATTTTGTTAAAATGCTGATATTTTCAGTAAAGATTCTAATTTGTATTGGATTTTTTGCTGTTTCCCTAGCAGTTTACTGCTAGTGACAGGGAACTGAAGTTATATGTTTAAGCCAAAATCAGATGCTATAATGAAAAATGTGTCTCTTGTCATATGTGATAGTTAAAGAAAAGCTAAATTGGGTATGTAGTTTCATGAATTAAAAGTCTGTATATAGTGTTTGTTGTAGTTGCAGGAGCTAATGACAGAATAATCAATGCACATCTGTCAGCTTGTGTGCAAATAAAGAACTGAAGGAAAGCTGACTTTTTTCCCCCCACTCTTGCTAGGCTTTTCTGGAAATCAGTGTTGAAAGAGCAGTTTATTTAATTCAGCATTTTTGCAACAAATAAGAGCCTTAGTCCAAATTAAACAACTGCTAGCAAGGTTGCCTGCAGTAATCCACTCATGATAATCCTATCACTGAGGGAGAAGATTCACTTGTCTTTAATAAAGAGAAGGTCTGCCATGGGATCGCTGCTTTAGAAATTAACCCGTTTGGTTCATAGGATATAGAACTTGATTCAGACACGATTAGCAGGGTTGGTATCTTCACTCATCTTCCAGTGAAAAAGCAAGATCTACATTTGTTTTCATAACTTTTAAGATCTGTTTTCCAATCCATGTTTCTGTTATAGATCGTCACGGGCATTACTTAGTGGGTTGACAGACACTGTACAAGGGGTAGAGAGTTGGGTTATTTTATTTGAAATGGAGATATTGCAGCTTTGCCACAAAGGAAATGATTGCTGCAATGGATAGAGTCATATTCTGACCTCATCTGCAACAGCCCTGCTACTGTTGATGACAATGGAAGATGCACAAAGGCAGTATTAGGCCCATATAGGTACTGATTTAATTGTGGGTAACAAGGTACAGTGTAGTCATGCTTCTTACTAATCATTCCAAATGTGGAATCCTCCACACTGGAAACCCCTCTTCCATGCAGGGTCTTAAATATCCTAAATTGCATGATTTGTAGTGCACACTGCAAAGTCTATCCCCTCCCCCTAAACTTTGGTGATGGGTGCGGGTGTCATAAGGATGTAGGTGGGAAGAGCTGATGTTTCATTTTTACATCTGGTTAATGTTAGTTGTAAATTAAACTAACAGTTGTCTTTGTAAATTTTATTGGCGGAATCTAGAGCCATGGAGAGATGATCTTTTAGCAATTTGTGTATAAATTAAAATGAATAAATAAAATTATAGCAGGCCCAATTCTGCCACCCTTACTCATGCTTACTAGCTGCTTGCTAAGTGAGTAGACTCATTAAAGCCAATGAAAATACTCATGCAGTAAGTTACTACTCCGTGTGAATAAGGGTGGTAGAACCAGTCCCAACATGACTATAGCAAGAGCTAGGTCAGCAGCCCGGTTTCTGACTATAAACATGACGGGCATAACGAGAGTTTAATGTTCTTAAAAACAAATACATACATACATAAAATCCTAACTGTTCCCTGCCCCCCTATCCTATCTGAGCCTCACTGAGCCCCCATTTTCACCCATGTTACACACCAATCTTCATTGCCTGCATTATGGCCCCATCCTTCTGGGGAGATAAGGTTGTCAGGATTCCCTTTGGAATCTGTCAACACCATTCTTCATCAGTCAGAGAGATTGCTATTGATCATTGCTAATCACTTCCTTCTCCTTGGGGGATGTTTATGCTCACTTTGCAAGAGTCCCAGCATCTGTTGGCCCAGAGAGATACCAGCAGTGGGAACCAGACTCCAGTCTCCCACCTGCAGGACAGCACATTACTTTTAGACCACTCTGTCCATCCCATAGTTTGAGGAAAAGCTGTGTTTTCACAGTGTCTGCACATATAAATGCATTACTTGCTGTAAGAAGGGCATAAAGTGTTCAACAAACCCTATTACAGGATCTTATTACTCAGAGTGTAAATGTAATAGTCCAGTGATTATTATTCATAAGAAAAAACATCTTATTTTCACACTTGGAATGTATTTTTCACTGCAAATATGAAATACATAGTGATGAAAAGGGGAATAATTCTTCCTGATTTTCATGTATTTCTAATAACCTAACATGTCTCAGTTGTGACTGTGCCACTTGAATCTTAAATTATGTGGTAATCCCCTTTTCAATATGGTGTAGTTTTTCTTTTCTCTACACGGTACAGATTGTACCCTTGTCTTGCTCTGCTGAACTGGGGATTAAGTCCCCCTATCCTTTTGCTTGTCCTCCCCAAATCTCGGGTGCAGGCTTGTTGTGGGGCACACCCTTAGCTCCGTGGATACTGCCCCTATGTGAGCATGGGGTCTGATGTAAGTTGAGCCTTGGCATCTCTTCCCTCTCTCCCCCCCACTAGTTGTAAAATAGGAAGTAAGCCATGTGTTTTCAGGAGTTGCAGTAATTTGAGCTGGAGCTGTAAAAGGAACCTTGATGCTCTGAAACACCATTCCTGCTCAGGCCTGCTACTAGGGAGGCACAGGTACACACAGCTCTGTGCTCAAGGCAAAGGCTAAAGGCTTAATCTAGCAGTATAAATACACCTATAAAGGTATTTTCATGGGATCCCCTGTAAAGATGTGTATCTGTTTGTAATATATTTTCATAATAAAATTGTTCCCCTTTCTGTGTCTTCTAGGGTCAAAATGTATTTGGACTTGATATAATTGAAACACCCGAGGGAGACAAGTGGCCACAGTTGATTGTCCAGCAGATCCTGGACAGGGAGCAGAAAGACACATATGTGATGAAGATTAAAGTTGAAGATGGTGGAACACCTCCCAGATCCAGTACAGCCATCCTACAAGTAACAGTTACTGATGTAAATGACAATCGCCCAGTCTTTAAGGAAAATGACATTGAAGTTAGCATTCCAGAAAATGCTCCAGTGGGCACCTCAGTTTCTCAGCTCCATGCCACTGATGCTGATCTGGGCTCAAATGCACAGATCCACTTCTTTTTCAGCAATCAGATCTCCAGTCTGGCCAAAAGGCTCTTTGCCTTAGATAACACCACTGGCCTCATCACAATTAAGGAACCACTGGACAGGGAGGAGTCACCCGTACACAAGTTAACTGTTTTGGCAAGTGATGGCAGCTCAATTCCATCAAGAGCAACAGTGACAGTAAATATCACAGATATTAACGATAATGTCCCATCCATAGACACAAGATACATCATCAATCCAGTGAATGGGACTGTGCTCCTGTCTGAGAAAGCGCCGCTCAATACAAAAATTGCCCTGATTACAGTAATGGACAAGGATGCTGATCTGAATGGAAAAGTTACCTGCTTCACAGACCATGATGTCCCTTTTAGGTTAAAGCCAGTGTTTGATAATCAGTTTCTATTGGAGACTGCCACATTTCTAGACTATGAGGCTACGCGAGAATATGCTATTAAAATAGTGGCCTCTGATTCAGGGAAACCTCCCTTAAATCAGTCTGCAATGCTGCTGATCAAAATCAAAGATGAGAATGACAATGCCCCAGTTTTTACACAGCCTGTCATAGGACTTTCCATTCCTGAGAACAATGCTCCTGGTACCCAGCTGACCAAGATCAGTGCCACAGATGCAGACAGTGGACGCAATGCTGAGATCAGCTATATGCTGGGTTCAGATGCACCTCCCATTTTCAACCTGGATCGCCGCACAGGAGTTCTGACAGCAGTGAGAAAGCTGGACAGGGAAAAGCAGGACAGGTACTCCTTCACTGTACTGGCTAAGGATAATGGGATGCCACCATTGCAGACCAATGCTACTGTGACACTATCAGTTCTGGACCAGAATGACAACAGCCCTGCTTTTACCCACAATGAATATAATTTCTATGTGCCAGAAAACCTGCCCATGTATGGCACAGTGGGGCTCATCACAGTTACTGACGCTGACTCTGGAGAGAATGCTGCAGTTACTCTCTCTATATTAAATGGCAGAGAGAATTTCATTATCGATCCACTTACTGGTGTAATAAGACCCAATATTACATTTGATAGAGAGCAACAAGGCTCTTACACTTTCCAGGTGAAGGCTGTTGATGGAGGAAGAGTGCAACGCTCTTCCACTGCCAAAGTGACCATAAATGTAGTTGACGTGAATGACAACAGACCGGTTTTTGTCATCCCTTCATCCAACTACTCCTATGACTTAATTCCCACAGCCACCAATCCAGGATCCGTGGTGACTAAAGTCTTTGCAGTTGACAATGATACAGGGATGAATGCAGAGCTCCGCTACAGCATTATAGGTGGGAACTCGAGAGGTTTGTTTACAATCGATCAGTTAACAGGCAACATTACTTTGAAAGAGAAGGTAATCACAGCAGATCATGGCTTACACAGGCTGGTGATAAAAGTCAATGATTTAGGACAGCCAGAGTCTCTCTATACCATAGCACTGGTGCATTTATTTGTGAATGAGACCATCACCAATGGTTCATACGTGCAGGAGCTGGTGCGCAGAAATATGGAAACACCAGTGGGCCAGAATGTTGGAGATGGTGAGATAACCCCACAGACCAATGACTATGTCAAAATCATCATTGCTATAATTGCAGGCACCATGACAGTCATCCTGGTCATTTTTGTCACTGCTCTGGTACGATGCCGCCAGACACCCCGGCACAAGGTTGTCCAAAAAAGCAAGCAGAGTGGGGAATGGGTCTCCCCAAACCAGGAGAACCGACAGATCAAGAAGAAGAAGAAGAAAAAGAAGCGCTCTCCTAAAAGCCTCCTTCTCAACTTTGTGACAATTGAAGAATCTAAGCCCGATGATCCAGCCCATGAGCATATAAATGGCACTTTAGACATTCCCGTAGAGCTTGAAGAACAGACTATGGGAAAATATAACTGGGCCACCACACCAACCACATTTAAGCCCGACAGCCCAGATTTAGCAAAGCATTACAAGTCTGCCTCTCCACAGCCCACCTTTCAAATTAAACCCGAGACTCCTGTGCCCCCTAAGAAGCACCATGTCATTCAGGAACTGCCTCTGGATAACACCTTTGTGGTGGGTTGTGACTCGCTCTCCAAGTGCTCCTCAAGTAGCTCGGACCCTTATAGTGTCTCCGAATGCAGCTGTCAAGGTGGCTTCAAGACCCCAGGCCCCATCCACACCAGACAGGTAATACAAAGTTTCTAGCTGCTCACTCTCTTTCTCTGTCTGTATGTCTAAGCACTGCAGAATAACTTTGTCTATAAAGATTAAAAGCCTGAAAGTTCATGCTTGGCTGAGACATTGAAATGTAAACAGTTTGTGATTCATCAATGTTAAAAGGAGAAAATTAGAATAAAGTGACTCTTGGCTGTGGGAAAATTTAGTACTGAATGATTATATTAGGGGATATTCCTGTCTGTAGATGGCAGTATGGTACTTCCTGCATTAACATAGTATTCAGCTGTGCAGCTCTGTAAAACAAAGAGGGGTTGTAGCACTTTCCTCGCTAGTATTGTATGCTCAGGAATCTAAGTAATCTAGGCCAGGTGGAAAGCAATAAAGCTTTGCAGCATCTGATAAGTGGTTCTTAATGCTAATGGAGTCTAGAATTGGAGCCTTCATTTGGACAGAGCTGTACCTCAAGGTCTCTCAAAAGCAGGCAAGATTTTTTTTTTTTACTGAGAGATTGAGTGCCATTTTCAGACTAGAAACATACCCTACCATGCAGGCTACTAAAAGCTGGCTGACTGACATAATCAACAATATAAAGCAGTAATGAAGCCAGTGGGAAAATTTAGAAGCATCACAAACATTGCCCTCACTTTGTCACCTTCATGCCCAAGTACAGATCATAGAGACATTAGCTGCGGTCCAGTTCAGAGCAGCAGTCATATGAATGAATTAAAAAGCCCTCAGATTAACAAGGAGGACAAAAATATAATGATAATTAAACACCCTGTTGCTTTATAAGACACTAATGAAAGGCTTATTAAAGCAATGGGAACCACATCAGAATTGAATCCAGATTCTGGAAAGCTGCATTAATGCATTTGTGATAAGGGTTTGTTATTTATCTGAGTTTTTTCTCCATCAGTAGCCTATCCTCAGTACAAAGAAAACTCCCATGCTTTTATTTGAGTTAGTCATGAGGTATCTATGCAGTAAAAGAAGTTAATAAAATGTTTGTGGTGATAAGATGGGATTCACTTCAATTATTTCTATACAGGAACAGATCCTCAGCTAGGGTACATCTGTGTAGGCTTTAGTGGTGCTTTGACGATTTACCCTAGCTGAGGATCAGGTCCATAGGTTAGACTTACTTTTCTGTAGGCAATTTTGTTAACGATATGGTGAAAATAAAGGGGGCCTGAAGAAATGTTCTCATTCAAACTGCATATCTACAGCATACAAAGATTGCCACTGCTTTTTCTTTTACTTTCTTTTTATTTTTAACACCAGTCTGTGAGGTAGACAAAATCCCTGCTCTGTACAAAGCATTATCTTTTGCTGAGAGACATTAACAGAAAATGGAATAGAAAAGGATTTCTTCATATTTCTAAGACAGCAGAGACAATGGTGGGGGGGTTAATATCTTGTTAAAGATTTGAATGTCTTCTGTTAAAGCTATTTGAGTGAATTAATTTTGAATTTAAATTAGGCAATAGAAGGTGTAGGTGTGTGTGTGTGTGTGTGATTTTACTTTGGAACTTGAAGGTTGTTTTCTCAGCACCTGTTGGGGCCTGATCCAGAGCCCACTGAAATCAATGGGAGTTTTTCTATTAAATTCAGGGTGCTTTGCCTCAGGCCCTGTGAGCTGAAAGAATCCACCGTTACCTGCTCAAGGGCCTTGCATTCTGTCACCTTCCCCCCAGCAGACACAGCTAGGCCTGTGGCAACCTCTGGAACCATCCAACCATTTGCCCAAGAGGGCTGTTAGAAAAGAATGGAAGGCAATTCCTTTGGCAGGGATGGGGGCAGGGAAATGTAGGTACTCTCTTTCACTGTGCTTCTAGCCTGTGTGGACTGATGTCCGAGCACTCCTTCCCCCCGATGGGGCAGAAAAGCACATTGCCTCTGGAGTATTCCTCACCCCTGAAATTATTTCGAGGCAATTCTGTGAATATGAATATAATGAGACATTAGCACAAGGTGGGATTATGGTATTGATTTTGTTTAAATCTGTAGTCCTCCTCCTTTAGACTTAATTTTGTTTGTGTCCTGGCAATGAACACCGAACTGGGGAAACTTTAACAACACATCGTACAAAGTCTTGTACATTCACTTGCAAATAGCATTTTCTTTCAACATTGAAATTAATACTCTCATTACTTAAGCAAAATATGAACGATTTTGTTAATGAACCTATGTAAGTATTGAAACAAGAAAGGAGTTAACTCGACTGGCCTTTGTGTTGGATTTTATTACATAAAGGGAATCATATTTTTAAGAAAAGTAAAGAGAACCAAATTAACTGTTGGTCTGCAGTTCTAATAGATAGATTTAAACAGTCAAATTTGGTCCTAATAATGAAAGACTCTGTCTCTTATATACGGAATGGCCTCATTTCCATTTAAGAATGTGAATTGGATACAAGTGAGTGACTCAAAACAGGATAATTTGAAGTTTTCAGTTAGTTCTATTAGCCAGTGGAGAGACTAAAAAAAACTATATATATAAAAAAAAAGCTTCTTATAGCACCACAGTATTTCAGTTGTCATGCTATTCACCTTTTTTCCAACCTCAGAGTTGAATGGCATGTTTGAGATTAATGCAACTGTTGCTTCATGCATTCACTGGCTTTGCAGAAAGCTGTAGGCAGAGCTGAGTCCTGTTACATTAAAAACTCAAATGCTCTAGTGTTTAAAAATAAAGAATAAATGTTTCCAAATTGTGAAAAAATGTGCTTTATCCCGGCACTAGTAGTTATTGCAATGCATCAGTTTACAAACAAAGCTCTCTGAAGCATGACTAGAGAAGGAACAAAATTATGTATTCAGTTTTCCCTCCCAAATTTCAAGTTGCTGGGATAAATGGGTCTCTAATCAGAATTGTTTCTGGTTTTGTTTCTGCAAAACCAAGATATCACTCAGTTATTATGAAACAAAACCCACCTTTAGTTTGACCATCCTCATTTGATACGGAATTGAACTATCACTGAAAACATGTATATGGACCCACCAAAGCTTTAAAATTTGGCTCCTGGCCCATCTGTGCAAATAAAACCTGGTTTGGGTTTTGCAAAGCTAAAAAATGGTCCTTGATTCTGTGTTACTGCTTGGATTGGTCTAACTCAGTGCTCTTCACTATTTTTGAAGTGGGGGCCACTTTGGCAAAAAACCTTCAATGTGAGAGCCACATCAATCCGACACAGACGGTTGAACACACACCCGCCACAGACCGTTGAACACTCTGAGTTCTTTGTTGGTTGATATGGTAATATTGCCATTATTGGTAATATTGCTTGGGGTGCAGAAGGGGGTACAGGGTGCTGGCTCTTGAAGGGGGCTCAGGGCTGGGGCAGGGGCTTGGGGTGCAAGAGGGGGTGAGGGGTGCAAGCTCTGGGAGGGAGTTTGGGTGCAGGAGGAGACTCCAGGCTGGGGCAGAGCGTTTGGATGCAGGAGGGGGTATGGGCTGCAGCTCCAGGATGCGGTATGGAGTGCTGGCTCTGGAAGGGGACTCCGGGCTGGGGGTGCAGGAGTGGGTATTGGGGGCTGGCTCTGGGAGGGGCTATGGGCTGGGGCAGGGGCTTGGAGTGTAGGAGGGGGCATTGGGGGCTGGCTTCAGGAGGCTGCAGGTTGGGTAGTGGAAGAGCTATTTAGAACCTGCCCATTGAAGGGGACGGCACTTACTTCTGGCAGCCCCAGCCCCACGCCACTCCTGGAAGGAGCCAACGCACCCCTTCATCCGCTGGGGGGGCACGTGATTCTGCATGCTGCCCCTCTCTGCAGGCACTGCCCCTGCAACTCCAATTGGTCACAGTTCCTTGTTCCCGGCCAATGGAAGCTGCGGGGGTGGTGCTTGCAGGCAGGAGCAGCGTGCTGAGACCTCTGCTCCCCCGCCCTCCACCCCCACCCTCCTGGAGCCATGGGGGCATGCTGGCCGCTTCCGGGAGCGGCATGGGGCCAGGGCAGGCAGGGAGCCTGTCTTAGCTGTAGTCCCACTGCCGCTGGAGAGTGCAATCAACAGAAAGCCGTACTTAGGGTCCATGGGAGCCGCCACTGGCTCACAGGCCTTGAATTGAAGAACACTGGTCTAACTGATCTATAACACGATGGAAAATCCTTGTAGTATTTGTTCTGATGAGATGTGCTGAATATATATATATATTTAGAGGGGAAAACACAGAAGAGAGTGTTTGAATGTTTTTCATTAAAAAACTGAGACACTTTGAGTGGCCAAAAGGAAAAGGAAATAAATAGCACAACCAGCCCAGAGCTGCTACTGCTGAAGGAATCAGAGAGACCAAGAGCAGCCAAAGGGCAATTACGCCATGAACCACCAAAAGGGGAGGGAATGAGGATGTTACTGGAGAGGTCGAGAATGGCTGAAGAAGGAAAAGCATGATACATATGTAATACCTCTTATGTGTGTCTGAGGGGGGAGAGAGAGAGAGAATGATAATCCATATTATTTTTTAAAAAGTCATTTCACAGTAATTATTTAATCAATCCTAGTGGCCACAAATACATGGAAACTTATAGAATAGCAAGTGTTCTTTTGTGAAGTATTAGAAATTAATGTACTAAAGAAGCTTTTCAAAGTGATAGACTGTGAAGAGACTAATTGTTAGTAATAATGCAGTGTTTTCCAGGGTTGGACAATCAGGGATTCGTAAAATAGAGGTGACATTGAGTGTCTTCCAAATCATCAACTTTTTATTAGGCAACTTTGCTAGTCATGTCGGGGGGCGGGGATATATTTGTGTGCTATAGAGCAAACTTCATCAGCAGAAGGATCAGGTTTTAAGTCAAATAGGACTTTTGCCATTAAGCTTAGTGGGAGTAGAGTAAGACTTTTAATAAAATACCCTGATAAGGTTGCACATGTATCCCATCTCTCTCCGCATTTGTCATTCTATACTCACAATAGGTAGTGAATAAACATAGGCAGAAAGAGGCAATATGAGTTGGCATATGGTTTATGTGTTGCCGTAGAACACAATTTTCAAAGTTGGGTGGGCAAACATTTGCTTAAAACAGCATTTA